AAATACGGAAACCCAATTTATATGTGTTGAAATACTCTCAGCAACTTCGTATGGACCTTCTCTCTTAGGGAATGCAAGAATGAGGTCCCACAAACTGTAGTTGTGTAAAAAAGAAAGAAAAAAAAAAAGAGCCTACTACTAGTTCAAATCTTGGAGACCATTAATTAGGAAGAGAAGGGCATGAGTCCTATCCCTGAAATGCTCAGTGTCTGGAGTTCAACAGATAACTGTTAACCTTCAAAACGGCCATTACTTGATAAGACCTGAAAAATGCCTTGTTGAGGAAGAGGGGGAGATCAGCCAGTGGCAGGTTCTCTGCTATCCGCGTAATGTGACGGCATCGCTGTTTCTCTGCGTCGTTCTTTCTAAATATGCCCGTCTTGATTCGGAGGGTGGGAGCTCTTAAACCTGGTCAAGGTGATACAGTTTTACGGCCATCTCAAAGGAGAGATTTGCTTGCAGAAGCAGGAGAAACCCAGCTGCCAGGGAGAGCAGCTCTGTGCAAGGTTTGCATTACAACTGTAGGGGCAGGGAGTGAAGATCGTTATCCTGAAAGCAGAGCCAGCAAGGCCGTTATGTGCCTGGCGTGGTCCCTCTTCAGAGGCGGCTCCTTCGGGCTCCTGGGGAACAGCTGGCAGGTTGGGCTCTATTCGAGGAAACCCCTGCAGGGGTTGCCAGCAAAAGGCAAGTCAGGCTTGATGATGGCTTCAAACTTCTGCCTGCTTTTTCTTTTTTTACTGTACAGGTGCCATCCATAATTCCACTATGCCAGTATTGCACGTCATCCATTCCTGCGGGGACTTGTTTCAAGCCGATCCCATTGCCTTGGTGTGGTATCAAGTCCAGAGCCCAATGCGTGTGTGTAATTTAGAAATTGTCTGCAGGTCTCATTTCAACACACTTGGTTTGAAATAGCCTTTTTGTTTTGAAATTTAAGTTACAAGTACAGGCATTAAAAGGTAAAAATCCAAGTGAAACATTTCAATACAAAATATTTTGAATTATCCAGTCCTGGTGAGGTTTGTTTGCCTGGAATTTGTGGATATTTATTAAAAAATTGAGGTTTTTGTTTTTTGAATCCCAATTTGGAATGAGAACATTTTTCCTAATTTTGAAATCTCTCGTTGGATGATAGAACCGGTTCTCAACCCTGTGTTTATTCTAGTTACATCTTCTCTCAGCTGACTGTGCAGACAGGAGCAAGGTTTTGCTTCCTGTAAAACAAGATCACCTCTGGAAGAAAGAGCTAAATGTTGTTCTCCTTTGAAAATGTCAAACTCTTTATTACAAATGATGAAATGCAGAGGCAAAAGACAGGGTGGTCCATCCAGCTAACACTCGGAATCTGTTGTATTTTCTTCATAGGTGATTTGGTGACTGATGGCAAAGTTGATGTGGCCTCTGCTTTTCTCTCATCTATTCTGGACTTTCAAAAGGATGTTGGATTTTGGAGATGTGATGGATTTTGAATTCTGCATCCCAAAGCTTTGCAAAAGGAAAAAAGATGGAGCTGAGCACTACCAAATAGAGTGGCTACTGCTGTTGTGAAAGATGCAGTGACACTGGAATACACTGAGCCAAGAGAAGAGGACGTGGCAGGTTATGGTCCAAAGAAGTCTCCTGCCCTCTCTGAGTGGGAGGATGATGCTACACAACGAGGATCTGCAGGTAAGAAAACCAAACCCTAAAGCATCAAATTGGGATGTGCACCAAGGTGTGGTTTACGTTGACTGGCTTTCTTACTTCCTCTAGGCTCCCTTGGGTTTCCTTGTTTGCCTGCTGTACTTCGAATTAGAAGATTGTCCACCTGAGAATTCCCCAGGGACAGCAGATATTCTAGCGCCACTTCTGCAAAAATCATTCAGGGGATCATATTCCCCAGTCAGATTTGTCTATGGATTTAAGCCTCAGAGAAATAATATCTTACCAAGCTGAATACCAACAGAATAGACGCTGTGATTGTATTATGCTTATAAGGGGGAGAAGGGGACAGATGGGAGGGAAAGTACCATTGTGCCCCTTTATAAATCCATGATGCATCCACGCCTTAAATACTGTGCCCAGTTCTGGTCCCCACATGTCCAAAAGGATATAGAACAGGAGCAGGCAAAGTCTGGCCAACAGGCCAGATCAGGCCCACAGTGGACTCTATTTCCCAGCAGCCCCTGTCTGCATCACTGCAGGGCAGGGAGCTGCTCCGTGGCCAGGGATGGGATCTTGCAGCGGTGGCAGCATGGTTTGGAGCTGGGGCAGAGCTGCAATCTGCTGCCCACACGCCCAGGCAGAGGTATGCACTCAGCGGATCATGGCTCTGCCCTGGCTCTGGACCATGCGGTCACCACTGGAAGATCCCAGCCTTGGCCGTGGACCAGCTCCCTGCCCAGCCGTGTGCCCTGCCAGGACCCAGTGCTGGCAGGGCCGGTCTCCATGGAAACCCTGCCCCTGCGCTGCCCGGGGACCACCGCTGCTGGGATCTCCTTGGAAACTGGCCACAGCGGTGCCAGTAGGGGCTGCTGGGAAATGGAGTCTGGCTGCCGGCTGCATCTGCCATTTTGCCCACCCCTGGCATAGACGAACTATAGAAGATCCAGAGAAGGGCAACAATGATGATTAGTGGTACAGAGATGCTTCCATATGAGGAGAAACTAAAGAGACTAGGTCTGTTCAATTTAGAGGAGAGATGCTCGAGGAGGGACATAAGGGTTTACAAGATACCAAATGGTGACGAGAAATTCAAAAGGGATTTATTATTTCCTTTCTCAGTACAAGAACTAGGGATCAAAAAATGAAGCTAGTAGGTAGTAAGCTTAAACCAACAAAAGGAAGTTTGTTTTCACACCTTGTGGCACTCATTGCCATCAGATGTTGAGGAAGCTGATAGTTGGGTTAGATTGAAAAAAAGGATTGGACAAATTCATGGAGGAAAGGACATCAGTAGCTATTGAGCATGGGAGTTAGGGAGACAGCCTCTAGAACATCCTAGACCTTAAATGCTGGAGGCTGCAAGTGAGAGAGGGACAGTGGGAAAAACCCTGCTCATTCCCAGTTTCATCTCCCTTTCAGCATCCGTTCTCTGCCACTGTGCGACACAGGAGATTGGGCAAGATGGAGCTATGGTCTGACCAGTCGATGGCAGTTCTTATGAAAAATATTCCTGCATTGTTGGCCTTTACGACATGCTGGTTGCCTTGGACAGGTGCTCTTTTCAAGCTGCTCTGAGCAGCAAAAATGAAACAGTTCTTCCAGAGCATTGCCCAAAGCTGTGAGAGGAGAAATGCACATGGCTGCCCCAGGCAGGTGATTGCATTTCTCACCTTTGTTTAATCTAAGGTGCTGGTAGCAAGAGGAAATGATCATACTGATTTTTTTTTAAACTTCCCTCCATCTGCAGTCACTCTTGCTTTCTCTCACAAATGTGCATGCATCCTCACTCTGAATTGAGCAGGAGGGGTTGGGAGCCCAGGGAATCTTTGCATGGGTCTCAGGTATGTTTTGCCCCATGAAAGTCTCCAGGAATAGGTGGGGAATCATTGGGGTCCTGAAGACTGTGTCTGGGCGAGTAGGAGTCTGGCAGAGAAAGGGAAACAAAGCCAGAAGTAAGTCAGCCTGGCTACTGAAGAGTACAAAGAGCCTCCTGGAAATCCCATGTCAACCGAAAAAGGTCCAACCTGCGTCCCATTGTCCTGTCACTCTAGGAGCACTGTTCAGTCTCCGTTGCACTGAAAGTCTCCATTGCAAGCCCCTCTTTTCTTCTGCTCTTATAGTGAATTTAGCACTGGGGAGAGATACCAAGTTGACAGCCCTCTCCTTCATAGCACTGGTCTAATGTGAGGTTTCCCTGTTCCCCTTTGTCTTGATATCTCACCTGTGACCTGGAGTGTGGCTCAGTCTGACTTATCCACTGAGGCTTCCAACAAGGCTCCCAGTTACTTCAGAAGATGTTGCCATGTCAAGATAACCACTCCACCAAGAAATAAGCTCTGATGACGAATTTGCTTCTCTACAGTGAGTAGTAAAAGAAGCATTTAAAAAAAATGTTCCTGTTCTTCTGCACTAGGCTTGAACCTGCGAGATGAAAGGCCTTGTGCCCTGTATCCTGTTTCCAAAACTAGCTCCTTGTAAGTCTCACTTTCTTCAAAGCTGAACAATTTGGTCATAAATCTCCATTTCATAATGAAACTTGACACACCACCTTTACGCCTGGGTGTGAGCTTCCCCTGCTTGCGGAAGAAGCCGTTTGGACATTTTACATTATGGGCATGCTTATTAAAAAGAAGAGAATGAGATTTCTTAAGGGCTTCTCATGACTGTGGTTGTGTGGCCACCGTAGACCAGGTGCTGTCCCCCTGACTTGCCTTAAACTATGTCTTACTGTGAGTAAGTAGCCTCCTTAATTTCAAAGGCATGGGGCATTTGGCTTTGTACTGGGTTTACCTGGATTAGCCTGATTCAGTTGAATCGTGGGTGCTGAGTTATACGCAGCATTGAAAATTATGCTAAGTGCTAAATTATATTGTCAAAGCTTAATTTTAAACTGGTCCCATGATTAGGGCCCAGGTCTCAGAGACTGGAGTGCTCTCCCTGTTTCTGCTCCCACTTTGTGGCCTGAACTTGTCATTGCTTCAGTGCCCTCCTTTATAAAGAAGATAAGAATTAACACTTACCCATCTTTTTAATAAAGGCCAGTCAGACCTGTGGGTGAAAGAGCTGTAAAACTGGGGCATATTGGTTAATTACTAAATTATAATGTGTCTTATAGGAGTAAGGTTTGGTAGTTCTTGTTCACGTGGTTACGATTGTCTCTGGGGCGGCTTTATGTTTAAAGGGCAGGCAGCTGAGTCTGAACAAATCCCCTTGTATGGTAGCCATCATGAGCCCATGCCAGGCCTCCAGACAAGAACAGAGTATAATATGGCTCTTATTATTTCATTGAATCAGCTTTTCTGGGGCCTGGAGTGCTCTTAGCACAAGCAAATAAATTACCCTGCTCGTTTGCTGCGTGCTCTGCAGCTCGCCATATGTTTGAGCTTGATAGAGATGCTTATCTGCCCAGCTAAAATTACTCAATGAAGGATAACATTTCTTATCAGGGGCTTTGCTGAATCAGAGAGGCCCCAGCACCCGCCACTCTTCTTTATACAGAGTTACAGGGCTGGGCAGCACTGACAGTGGACAGATTGTGCCTGTAGGTCACTAGAGCTGGTGTCAGGTTATTGTGAAAAGAGGACAATAGGAGGATTTTGCAGTAGCTGTTGGGGGCTACAGGGATAGAAGTGAAAAGAAAGAAGCAAAGCAGTGGTGCTAATTTAACCACAACAGACAAGCGTATGACTTAGGCCAGGGGTCAGCAAGCTTTCAGAACGGTGGGCTGTAATAACACGGCTGGGTCCAAGGTGAGCCGGCACTTCCGACCTGCCTGTTGCCATTGCCCCTGCCACTTCTCCTCAGTGCCAAATTGCTGGCAATGTGCATGCCATCCTCAGTGCCAAATTTCTGCCAGTTTGCATGCAATGCCACACAATAACCCCCTATCGCTCCCTTCCCTTCCCTTCCCCCCTCCATCAAAATGCTGCCAAATTGTTCCACCTTTGAAATGCCACTCATATCTGGGCTTTGCAAGCCAAATGAAATTGCTTGGCAGGCCAAATCAGGCCTACAGGCCATAGATTACTGACCTGTGGCTTAGGCAAGGACACTTATTGGTCTAGTGGAGACCTCTGAGTCTCTACAAAGATCGAGGATTGTAGATTCCCAAATGTTCCCCTTTTGTTTTTCTGCTACTTTTGTTTTCTTCTCCCTTGTCACAAAGGCACTCTCCTTTTTTTGGTTCTTCTTCTCCACAAAACATCTCACAGTCCATCCTGGTCCTCCCCAAGGATCCTTCCAGGCTGTATGCAGAGAGAAAGTTGCTCCACTTTGCTGGATTGACTTCCTGTCAATGCTGGTCCCAATTTATCTTGGATTGAAGGGCCCAGGGACGAGCCTTGTTCAGCACCCCATGTTCCTGCTGTGATCAGGAATGTTGTGGCCTCCTTGTATGTGATGAGGACCCCCCCCCCCTTTTCTCCAGCTAGGCCCTTCCTGCGAGGGCAGGCAGGGCAACACAAAGACTGAGGGTTAGAAAGTGAAATCAGTTGAAGTATGGTGTCCACCAAACTGTCCATGACACGTTTTTGGAGAGGGCAACTGTTCATTTGTGGCTTCCTTCTCAAGAGACTAATTCTTGAGTGGCGAATTCATTCATTCTAGCGCTGACCCTAAGGACTATGCCGAGTTTCCATAAAAACGACACCTTCCGTCCCTGTACAGCCCCTTTCCTGTGCAAGGGGCCTAATGCATTTTTTCATATTTCTGTGCAGCTGTTAGAGGAAAGTCACTTAAAGTGCATTCACCTCTGGAGTAGAACGTGGCAGCGGGTGAACAGCACTAACCACTAAACATAAGGAAGCAAACAACTGTCCAACAGAGTGGATTTAAGGTGGACAGAAGGCTGTTAGGCCAGGAAGAATTTGGTCAGGACGGCACAGTTAAAAGTCCTGTTGAGGCAGCATCCCACAGATTAGTCACGGGATCAGGGGCCTTGGTGTTGCTTCTGCTTTCTGCCAGGTTGCACACAACGGCTGGGTGGGCACCGTGCTGAGGGCTCCAGCTCTAAGGCAGATGGCAGC